TAATCAGAATCTCAGTTATCGATCTTACTAGGGATCCCCACCATCCCGTGTAGACCGAGTTGATTCACCTTGGAAAGGTATTAGACCCTTCCTTTGCTCTCCTTCAAATTGTAAACATGGACGAACTCGCTCACTGTGAACTCACCCAAGATAGCCTTCTAGAAGTCGATATACATGCCAACCAGGTACAAATAGTAGTTAGTCGTCATCTGCAGTGAGGTGATCTAGAATCATTGCAAAACTTGAGAGATGAAGCGAAGAGGTGGGATCGATACATCACACCTCAAAAATACTTTTAACATCGATGCCCAGCCTTAAGGTGGATTCTCAAGCAAGCTATCGTCTATTACCCGCAGCTCAGCGAACAACCCATAATCCTCACGGACTCAAACTAGCTCATCCCAGGTAGGGGGAAGGAGAATGACCAACCAGCACTCCTACCATTGTTGGTTTGACACCATCATTAGAGCTCGTGTTCTCAAACCTCACTATGGTGCCCCCGGTGCCACATGAGTGGTCCCCTTGAAGTCCTCCAACCTTGAAGATAGCCCTCTCCGTAAAACTACTTCCAAGGCTCACTCTAATAACTTAGTTGCTGCTGCTGGCCATCCGGTGAAATCGCCTCCAGGTAACCTAGCACATTTAGAGACAAGCGTCAGAACTTGCTATGCAAAAACCCTAGAAGATCAATTTGTTCGTGCCTACTCATGTCATAGAAACCCAATGATGAGCTAAGACCAACAGCCCTAGCACTAGCTCTAGCACTAGCAACCACCTCCAAAAACCCCTGAAGTGACACTCTTAAAAACCCAAGCCTACTCCCCAACTCTAGCCAGCGACAACTGACCTTGGTCGGGAGACATCGACAACAAAAGCAAAGACGAAAAAGGAAAGGATAGAAGCAACTTACTGTGAGAAATGATTAGAAAGATGTCGATTAAGTCCACACGAATCTATCACACTCTCAATTTGTTCGTGCCTGCTCATGTCTTAGAAACCCAATGATGAGCTAAGACCAACAACCCTAGCACTAGCTCTAGCACTAGCAACCACCTCCAAAAACCCCTCAAGTGACACTCTTAAAAACACAAGCCTACTCCCCAACTCCAGCTAGCGACAACTGACCTTGGTCGGGAGACATCGACAATAAAAGCAAAGACGAAAAAGGAAAGGAGAGAAGCAACTTACTGTGAGAAATGATTAGAAAGATGTCGATTAAGTCCACGCGAATCTATCACACTCTCAAAGCTGGAGAGAGAAAATTAGTTTTGGAAGGAAGTTTTCAAATCTAAAAAATGAGAAAAGCTTAAGTGCGACATGCCTTTTATAATGTACTCAAACTAGAAATGACCAAAGCTTTCCATCCAATTCACACGACATCATCCAAAGTCCAATTCACACGACATCATCCAAAATGGGGAAAATAACCATCGTTACAGTAATCGAGGCATCAACCTATCAGATGAAGTGACAAAAGCCTATCATCCACGTCAGTATGACGATCTGCCTGATCCCCATTAAATGTTTGAATAAGACTCCTTAAATGTCCCTGATCAATATCACAATTATACGCCCCTTTCGCAAAATGAAGCCCTATTGAACTATGAAGCGCAACGAGCTCCCAACCTCGACAGGTCAAGTTCACAGCCCACTACAATCTATGAGTAGGTAAGCCCACTGAGGCGGTCCTCAGCGTAGTAAAATATTTGTAGGGGCAAAGAATGTGCTCATCACACCCGAGCAAAGAGCTTCTTAAAGAACGACAGAAGAGAGAAAGTAGACACACAGTTGGAGTAATTTAATAAAATTAAGTGAAAAGGTATGGGCAAAAAAGGAGATAACTCTTTATTTATCGTCGATATCTGTGGGATTACATTACCAAAAAATAATAATAAGAAGGTAAAGGGGTCACGGAGATTGTGAAGATTCAATCCTTGTTTGGATAATACGAGCCCTCAATACCAGCACTCTGAAGTGACGTAAGGCGATGCTCAAGACCTGACCGCTCGTTTTGAAGGACGCCAATGGCTCTTTCCATTTACCACACCTGCGCGCCAAACTCTCCATTCTCTTTCAAGATATCCTCAATATGCTCATCTCTCATGTTCAAATCCTGAAATAGCTTGACTTTCACCTCGGCATGACCTTCGTGAATCGAAGCTAGAGTCGCCCTCAGCCTATCAGACTCCCAAAGATGTTCCACGGGCACCTCCAGATGACGCAACCTTTGATAAGCCCTCTGGAAGAGCCTCGTCATCATGGAGAGGAGCTGAAAAAGGACAAGTCCCACATAAGCACCATAAAGCAAGAAAACAAACAAGAGAGAAACAAAAGAGCCAATACTAACTTGGGTATGGTCCGTAACCACCTTCTGCAGCATGATGGCCACATCGAGCCCCCTCATCTCCTCCCAATTAGCCTTGGTGGTAGACTCAAGGAAGGCCCATGATGGGACACAAAGATACTCTAGAAGCCCAACAATCACTTACGAAGGAGTTCCGACCACTTCTCCTTGACCCCCACCTCTACATTAGCAGGAATCCCCATTTCTACCACCGAAAGGCTCAAAAACCTGGCAACGAGTGCCCGACAATCCCTTGACACGCGAGTAACTATACTCCTCCTCCTCGACCACTGGCATCGTCACCTCCTTCATCCAGACAAACAAAATACATATGATAAGGAGATAGGGCTCACACGAAATCTTCTGGCCCCTGATGCGCCAATGAAGGACCAGTTTCACCACTACGGATGGCACTATAATGCAAAAAGCTATTCCGAACATCTCATGGAGGCATTGACGATGTCTCGGGTACCTTGTTATCCGAAGAATCAGCATTCTTGCTAAAGTAATCATAGGTCGATGACATCCTTAGAGCAGGGAAGAAAAGGTACAAAAAGCAAATCCTAAAAGACTGAAGTTGGCAAAAAAGACAACCGTTTTACGGATTTGGAACAGAACATGCCAAGAAAGCAAAGGATGATTATCCAAAGTAAGAACACCAACATTTATAAGCAGTGGAAACGATGTATTGTCGCTTCGATTTCCCCAAACGGCTATAGCCTCTGATGCTTTGGGGGTACGGGATGGAAAATCAGTCACGTCTCATTAAATGCATTGTTAGACAACACTTGAAATCCCACCGCATACAAAAGGTTGAAGTCAGACGAAAAGGCTGCAATAAGTTACAAGACTAGACAAGTTGGCATTGACCCGATTAGACCGCAAGAGACCTAGTTTTTCAAGCTCTCTATGACCCTCAATGAACGGGTCAACATTTATGATGGGCTTTAAGATTATTGGCTGTGGGTTGGGCTAAGGTTTTGATGGGCTTTAGGATTATTGACTGTAGTCTGGATTAGAATTTTCATAGGCTTTAGAGCCTTAGGCTTTTTATTTTTTAAAAGTACATTAACATTTGTATCTACTTGTTAGAAGTACAAGGGTTTTTATTTCAATACAAAAACATCTATTATTATCCATTGTATATGATCTCACTCAATGTTTCACAAGTATAATCACATTTGATCAATTAATAATGTGAAAATAATTATTAAAGTGGTAATTTCTTGACAAATGTTATTTTTTTTAGAAAAGAAAATGAATAGGAGAATTTCAAGCAAAATTACTAGACAAATTAATTACAAATATTATTTAAATAAAATGTCACAAATTAATCATAATATGTAGTAAGATTTGTTAGATGTAATTCATGATCAATTATAATATGTAGTAAGACTTGTTAGATATAACATTAGTAACTTGTTAGATATTGTCTAAAATTAGATATTAGACTTGTGTGATACAATTTATTTTGTCTCTCTATCTTTATAATACACATAAAGTTCCTCTTCCTTCTTCTACTTAATTGGTAATTTTAATTTGTTTTTGTATAAAGTTCCTCTTTCTTCTTCTAATTAATTTGTTTAGTTTGCTTCATTGATTAATTTTCAACTATTCAAATTAATATAAGATTAACAAGATTTCTTGAATATTGATAAGATTGCATAGAAAAAATCTTATATTAAATTTTTTAAATAAAATGATATTATATATATGGGCCGAGTCGGGGCAAATCCCCAAGGGTCGAGGCGGGGTGAAGCCAAACTCCATCCCCGTGGTTGTGGAATTATTTTGTGCCCAGCCCCGTCTCGATCCCCAACTCTTTCAGCGCCCATTTCTAATCTTCGTATTCGTATCTATTCTGATGATGGTAGATAGGGAGAGGTTGAGTTTTTATTCTTTTAATTTTTTTTATTTAATTATTAATTGAAATGATCTTAAATATATCTATAAAATAATTTTATATAAAAAATGTAATTATTATTTACATTTTAAATAAAATTAATATAATAAATTTTATATTAAAAGAAAGTTTGGGTTAATGGAGCAACCATACCCACCCTAGTACAACCTATTTCCAATAAAATTTAGATAATGAGGTGAGGTGGGGTGTCTTGTGCATCCTACTCAACCCATTTGCCATCCCTTACCCATTCCCCCACCTTGAAGGCCAGCAACCCTCGCCTCGCCCCGTCTTTTGGGGCTACTGTTGTGGCCTTGCTTTTGGTGTTGATTTGCCCCCCACCCTCATCTTTTGAGGCCACAGCTGTTGCCTTGATTTGGTTTTGAACTGGTGTGTATGCTGGGGTGTTTACTAAAGTGTTGGGGTTGATTTTGGTGTTTAATTTGGCGTTAATTGGTTGGTGTTTGGCTTCACGGTGCTATTGTGCGAGTGTGACTAGGCTTTTGGTTGTTCTATATGATATAAACAGAGACTTTCGAACGAAAAGAAGAACAAAAAACAGATATTTACTTTGCTTATGTTAGGTGTTAGAATTCGTTAAATTTTACTACTGGCAAAGAGTTTGCGAGTAAAGCTGCCTTTTAAATTTATTTAGGGCAACCCTCAAGAGATTCAGGATAATATCTCCTCATAAAAGTAATAAACATTAAGAACACTTTTTCAAAAAGAAAATATCTGAAGGCACCATTTAACTAATATGAAAATATCATACCATAAGATTAGTAAATTTGAGTATAGATCAATTAGTTTTTCTCCCAGCAACATATGGCAGGCAAGAAAAGCTTCCTAATAATAGAGTTCTTTCTCTTTTTCGGGTAATTTTCTACAGTATTCTACTTAAGCAAATCTATTACAAATTTGTCAGGGTTCATATGCAGTGGATTTACATATCCATCTTCAATTTAGAACACATTATTTAAGTCTTCGGCTGCATCAGCATCTCTGTAAGATCAAAGGATGGCTGGCTGGCAAAAGAGGATCAAACCTGACATTTGTTAATCTATTTTACCAATATAAAGTCGTTTTCTTGTACCCTCTACTTTCTTGCTATAAATTCAATTGCAGCCCAAAGAAACCGATCTTTTTTTCATTTTTTTCCCATCTAATTATTAATGATAATAATGAAGCTCCTCTACCAGTGTAGCGAATGCACTCTCCGAAGAACACGAGGTGGTTTTCTCTTCTCGACAACTGGAATGAGATTCTCCATCAGCTGCATTTGAAATGAACCACAACAAGGAATTAGATGCACCAAGCTGTTGAATTAAAGGCAGAAACTTGGGGGAGGGGTTAATCAATAAATTCTCATGCAGTCGGGTTAGGTTTGTGATAATTACATTAGATCAAAGAATTTATCTAGATAACTTAGTTCAAGAACTGTTAATTTGTCAACAAGCCTAAGTTAACCTTCGCTACAAGAATAAAGACACTACAAGTAGCCAAGAAAGTCCACATAACGAAGGCTATTTATCTTTCCAGACAATCATCTAAGAAAACCTAAATATCTTGAACAAAAAAATAAATAAATAAACACGCTCGTTTTTTCCATACACCAAACAGGATTATACACCCAAAAAAAAAAAAAAACAAAAAAACAAAAAAACAAAATAAGTAAACGTAAATAAAAAAGATTAACATTATAAATATACATAAACCTGTTCACAAATGCATGAACCTGTAGAAATCTTTAACAATTATACACACAATAAAATTTAAAAATGACTATCACTGATTGATCTTGATCTTTGTCCGTTCTATACATCAAATTCTGTAGAAAGTAGTTTAAAAACCCCATGTATCTATAAAAATCCATACCTGCTTAAACCTCTCCTTGTTTTGTTCAGCCTGCAATTACAATTACAACTCATAAAAGGCTTTTATAAAAATAAAAATTGAAAGACAGAAGAATAAAAAAAATCACTCAAACTTAAACATAGAACAATCAACTTGCAATGAGTAATAATTGATCCAATCATCAATTTCCAGACCATATAGAACCCATATAGCATATTATATAAGATCAACAAACTAAAATTATTTTCTCTTTTGAAGCTCTTAAACTATTTTTCTAGGAAAAATATATATATCTCTAAAAGTAAAATTAATATAAGAAAGACATTATTGTTAAGAATGAAGGTCAAAGGCCATCTTTCAAAATCTTCCAATGTGGCAGATCAAGAGAACCATTGCTTCATGATGAAAAAAACTAAGCCTCATAAACCTCTCAAAAATTACTCTCCGTTCTCTTGATCTCTCATCTTAGACTTTCCAAACACCAAATTGGCATACTTTCATATCAAACTATTTTACTCCTCCCTCAAAGTACTCATCTCCTCTAAATCTGAGAGGGAGGGCATCTCTTGGCTTGTCCCGAGTCAATATTTCTCCATGTGTTATTTATAAACAAAAAGTGGAAGGCTGCCAAACAAGGATTTCCATTTTTCAACCAATAAAAGGGCAAACATGATCTATGATTTCAAAAACAACAGTAGTTGAAGAACGTTTAAATGCTTCTGGAAAAATTCAAAAGAAGTATGGCTATTTTAAATCATCCCAAACCACCATCCAAGTGAATATGCAATACAAACTTATGAAGAGAAGAATCTTCTAGAAAATTGAAATAATACCTCCTCTCTCAACAAATGAGCATTCTCCTCCTCCAGTTGCGTCACCAGAGACTCCAGTTCAACTGTATAAGCCTGAATAAAAGAACAAACACCCACTAAAACAGCCAAAATCCAGAAAATATATATAAAAATAACAAATAAAAATAAAAAGATTATTAAAATAAATTATTAAATAAGAGTAAAACCTGCTTGCGCTCTCTAGACCTCGCTGCAGATTCACGATTCTTGATCATTCTTCTTTGCTTTTGCTGTGTAGCTTTATCCAAAGGAGCCTCTTCAACTATTCTTCTTTTTCCTCTTCCACTTCCAACAATCACCATCTGATTATTATTATTATTATTATTATCATTATTGTTATTATTATTAACACTATTATTATTAATATTATTGTTAATATTGTTATTGACAGTACCATTCGTATTATCAATATTAATATTATTATTACTATTATTATTAGAATTAAGTTGATCCTCCTCTCTGACAGCACCAGCCTTGGTCAAAAAATCCTCGAGCGTCATCTCCTCGTCACGTGACCCGACGCTCCTCTCATCAGTGCCGCCGCCGGCCACCATCTCCTTCCAGACCTCCTCGACGGATTTGTTGGCCATGTCTTTGGAAATACTGAAGCTGCCCTCGCGTGAGAAGGACGCGCCAGAGAGAACGAGCTGATCGGCCGTGGGAGCGGAGTAAATGTTTTTGAGAAGATCGTCCATGGCGTTGGGGAGAGATGGATCGGGAGGATTGTCTTGCTGGTTTTGAAGATCGGCGAGTAAAGAGGAGAGAGATGGACATAAGGGAGACTGCTGACATGGCAGATCCGGATTGGTCGTTGAGGTTGACGTGGTCGTCATCACCTTCGACGACGCCATCTTCTCAGGTATTGATTTATCAGAAGGATTTAGATTTGATTTTTATTTTTAGAGTTTATGATTTTGGATTTTGGGTTTGGTCTCTCTCAGAAGAATGTTGAGAGTTTTGATTGGATAAGACTGGATGAGAGAAGAGAGGAAGTGCATAATTATATATAAATAAAAAAACATAAAGAATGCAGACCCGCCTGATGTTTGATATAATTAAATTCTCCCAGAGTTTCTAAAATAGCAAAAATCTCCCTATAGTATCGATCATACACGGTCACAAGTTAATAAAATTTTACCAAATTATCCTTTTACTAGTTATTCAAACACATGGACTTTGTACAAAAGCTTCTCGTAAACTAACATATCTAACGTTTGTCAAGATTTTAAGTGTTTTGGCTAGTTTTTGTGAATTTCAAATCGACTTTAGTGGACAAAAAAATTAAATAGAAAAAAGTTTTAACCCGCTATCTAATGTACCTCAATAGAAATGTTATGTTACTATCGAATATTCATTATTTACATTAATAATGAATACTTATTTAATTGTTTTATTTTAACACTTAAAACTTAATGATTGGATAGGCAAAAACTTATCTTGGGTCTAACGAGACCCAATAACAAAATAAATATATCACGGTCCAAGGCCTTAGCCCAATTCCGATTGGACCTACGTTTAAAGTCACCTTGTGAACTGCCCATTCTATGAATTGGGCTATCCTACAAGTTAAGGTAAACTGGGTTCTGGCCCATTAGCCTGCAACAGTCCATAAATAGGAAATCAAAATCTCATTCTATTTCCTTTTCTACTAAAATACCAAATCTTACTCAAATTAGTAAACTTAATCTGATAAAGACAATAAATCTTATTTCTTTCCTGATAGTGATTATCTCCTAAAGTATGTCCTACTAGGATTCCAACCCCTTGGGTTCACTATATAAACAAAAGTCTGTCCTCTCATAATTCATTCAATCCCTACTACTCAAAATCACCTCTTTACTCCTAAGCTCTTGCTCCCGAGAATTCTACACCTTCTCCGTAATCTTGGCCTCGGACAAGACTCCCAATAACTTTTCTTTCCCTTAATTCTTATTAAATAATCTCTTATAGCCTTGTTGACTTGAGCGTTGGAGTGCCTACCGCAAACACCACCCTAGTGTTTTCCATAAGGATCACGCTTGTCTCTTCATGTGTGTAGGTCCAGCAGATTGTTAGTGGCCTCAATCATGGGATCAGACTCTATTTCCGTAACCATAGATTTTTTGCATCTACAGTTTGGCGTCCACCGTGGGGCCCTAACAATCATCTGCCAACAATGACTTGCAACATGAAAGGAGGCACAGAACCCCCTCCAACTGATATCGCTAATTTAGCACGATAAGAGAGTTTTTCTTTGCTTTTCTTTATTTGTTTTATCTATAAACATGTCATATTATATCTATTGAACATGTAATATAATACCTTAAAGCATCAAAACACATCTCTCGTGTTCATTAATTTGTTTCATGCATTAGTTGGAATATTGTTCACTTTTTGGTATATGTTTAATTTTTTTTTTTTTTTTTTTTTGGGGGGGGGGGGGGGGGGGGGGGGGGGAAGGTATTTCGTTCTAAAAACCAATTTCCACATCCAATGCTTCTCATAACTCATCCAACGCTTTAGAGTAAAATCACGTTCGCAATGTTCTCAGCAATCTAATGCCTTCATGGAACAGTCTTCCTCGATAACTAATCCAATTGCACCACCTCCTTTGTCGAAACTAATCCTAAGAGACAGAGTTAAATAGCCACCGACAGTTACAATTTTTTTTTAAGGTTACTGATCGTGGAGTTCTTCATCTACAAATAAAACCCTCAATTCTTTCGCTTTCTCTCTAAAATTCTTCCTTCTTCTTCAACTACCACCAACCTCAACGCCTCCGCCACCGACTTCCTTGTGTATTCTCCATCTTCCTCATTTCCTGCTATCTCTATCCCTACCTTCTTCTCAGCAAAAACCTTAACAATCAACCCCTAGTCAATGGAGAAAGGTAGCAAAACTAGTGGTGTCCATAATAAAATGACTCTGTAATTGAGCTAAATCCACAGTGAGTTAAGAGCACTCCCATTGATTCATGAGCTAATATTCTAAGTTGAGGGGCCTAACTCGTCCACACCAATCCTCTTCCCTTCACTCTTTCCTCAAACCCATCTAGAAGGATTATCGAGTCATCCCAATCTCTTAGCGCCCAAAAGAAAGATAAACCAGATAACTCAGGCCCTAGAGCCAACCCCAGTCAACTCATACTGACTCAAATTCAACTCACTTCACCGGCCAACTTCAACACCTGGAACGTGTCGTTCTTTAACAAAAACCCCACTCTTCGCCCATTAAGGCATCCCATGAAAACAAACTAAACCATTCGACTCAGCACGGTCAAACATCTCTTGGCCACTTGAGCTTCTTAATCTAGCAATCAATCTCCCCCTCTTAGTTTTCTCCTCTTCAAACTCTTTTTTCTCCCTACTACTTCTTCCTTCCTCGCAACTCCCTTCGCCTTCTCTCTCTTTCTCTCTTCCCACTGAACTTTCTTCTTTCCACTCCCCACTGCCACTCAATACTCTTGGTACCACTTGGTCGTCTTGACCGAATGAAGGTGCCTAGTGGAGCCATCTTGCCAACCTCCTTGTGTCCACTCTGCTTGGCCCCTTTCAACAAGTCGAATCAAAGTCCGCATTAGGGAGGCTACCAAAACCAGTTATAAGGGTCTAAAAGCCATTCAACTCCAGCAAATCAAGAGCTTCACCCAACCTAGTCTCTTCAAACTCCTGTTTGCAACAGATAGAACTACCTTCCTACTTGTCCTAAAGAAGCAACCAAGAGTCCGCTGGGTTCCATTCTCCCCAAATCCCTCACTCAGCTCGGTTGTAGGAAATATCCGGGGGAAACGTGGTGGCCAACTAATTTGGTTCAAGCTTCCCTGTTCAATGCTTTACATGAGAGAGAAAAAGGACCGAAAAAGGGAATGTCTCACAATCAATTCCTCATTCTTGTCTTGGCAAGCGTTTTTTGTTTACTATGCCTTGCTGACTATTTCTTTACTATGTTGATGTCAATATCATAGGCCACCGTCATTAGGCATCAATTTGGCACGTTCAACACCACTCACCCAGTCGACACCAATCATGTGACTACAAACTACCCCATGCATGGAGAATATTCAAGCCAACCCTATCTCTTTCAACCGATCATACCTCAGAATCATAAGGTCAATTAACTTTGCTCCCACTGTCCCATGCAACACGATCGCTCAACATCAATTATGCAACTAAGTGCTCCCATCGGTAGAAGCCATTGTACCATTTGACCAACTGAAAAAGAATTCGAACAGCAAAACAACCACTTTTCCCACACCTTGCTCAGATTCATTCATCCAAAAATGCTCCCTCTGAAGCACTCTTTTTAGCACTTGGCATTTTGAGAAGGCTTTGGGGATAGAAGTTTGAACCACTCTAGACATCCTAATGTTATGTTTTTTTCTAAAAAAGAGAAAAAAAAAAAAAAAAAGATGAAGAGGCAAAGGCTAGATTTTATATGATGTTTGTGGTTCAATTTTCATCTTTAAGAAGTGTGTCAACGCAATTTAGCAACCATTATGCATTGTCGCGACAAACGTCAAGTGATTTGCAATCATCTCGACACAAATATGTCAAAATGTGCGAGGGAATTCTATCTGAAGAGAGACAAGGGCAGCCTGCCTTTATCACCAAAATGGAATATTATAGGAGTTCATCAGCTTCTGGGACACATGCAGCAAATTGGCCTCAAACAATGCAAATAGTCTAACTCATACCTAAGGAATACATGCACAACAAGCAATGTATTAGATTTTCAAATATTTTGGGTAATGAATCAGTACAGTTTTCTTGGACAACTGCAAGAAAAGAAACTTTGTGCAGCCATCCAATTGCTGTCATAGATATTGCTGCTATCCATTTCTGACAGAGCCTCCAGTTTCCCTTACGGATTGACTCGATTAAGCCGCCAAACTACCAGTTACTGTTAGACTTCGTCTTCCTCAAACGAATACTAGTTAAATTGCTTTAGAGGAAAGCACGGCGACACACTTGCCAAACTTTAATACTTGATATGGCGGCGACTTGAAGAAGTCAGCCTATACATCTCCAGTCGGCCTTGTGCTTCCATTCAGATCATGCGCCTCCATTGGCTCATCCATTGAAGTTACAAATCCAATTCAGCCCTTTGTTTCGCCATTCGGTTCTCTACTCAATACATGCACCCCATGCATTTTTATTACATTTGGCTTGGTGACTCTCCATTTGGCTTGTTGCTCAAAACATGCATGCCATGCATGTCACTTCTCTAGGTAAGATTATTCTTCCCTTGGTCTTGCATCACTTCTCCATACGGCTTGTTACTTGATACATGCATGACATTTTCCATTTGAGTTTCATCTTTCATTTGGTCTTGCATATGCACACCATTACTTCTCTTATTCAATTTATTGTGATAACTACACACCATGCGAAATACCATATGAATTTGGTTCAAGTTGTCTACTATGTTCACCCACAATTGGTTTACATCGACTCGGATGTGAGGCCTAAATTACATCGACCGGTGGTCACACCGATAGGGCCTCGATACTTAGCATCTATAGTTTTTTCAACTACAATTAGTTTACATCGACTTAGACGCAAAGCCCAAATATATCGACAGTCGGTCACACTGACAGGGCCTTAGTACTTAGTATCTATAGTTTTTTCAACTACAATTAGTTTACATCGACTCGAACGCGAGGCCTGAATTACATCGACAGTCAGTTACATTGAAAAGGCCTCGGTACTTAGCATCTATAGTTTTTTCAACTATAATTGGTTTACATCGACTCAGATGCAAGGCCTGAATTACATACAAAATTGGTCACGCCAACTTGGGCACACTACCCTCGAACTTTCAACTACAAAGTCGGTTACGTCGACTTAGGCACATTACCATCGAACTTTCAACCACAAAGTCGGTCACACCGACTTGGGCACACTGCCCTCGAACATTCAACTACAAAGTCAATCATGTCGACTTAGGCACAATGCCCTTGAATTGCAAATTACAAAGTCGGTCACGCCGACTTAGCCACAAAGC